GTCTTCAGCAGACCGGCAGACCAGGGAGACGCGGAGCAAAGCCCCTGATTCCAGGAAGCCCGGGGCAGAGCAACTCTGCCTCGGGCTTCCTGTAGTCAGCTGCTGGTCAGTTTCAGCAGCAGCTGAATCTGGACACCAGTTCCGACTTACATACAGATTCAACTTAAGAACAAACCTACAGTCCCTATCTTGTACGTAACCCGGGGACTGCCTGTAGTAAGAGCCTGGAGGTCAGGGACTTGGCACGAGCTGAGTCTGCTGAGTCCCAGCTTGTGACGGGTCCCAGACCTACTGCAGCCTGCCACCAGGGCTGCTGAGTCCCTGACTGCTGCAGGGGTCCATGATAGCTGTGCCTCTGCCTTATAAATGTGGTAAGAGCTAGGCAGCTCTTACTATGTTTAAAAGGCATAGCCACAGCAGTGTAGGTTTAGGACCCACACAAGCCAGGACTCAGCAGTCCTAGTTCACGCTGGTCCCTGACCACTATGCCTCTGCTTCCCCTGCCCCTCCCCCTCCCCCTGTACTGTGGAGATGGTGCTGGGAAGAACCAGCTTTTAAGCTGGCTGTACCCAGCATCAGCTCCTGCTTCTCCCCTCCTTGCTGCTTCTGATAAAGAGGTAGCAAGGAAAAGGAGCGAGTAGTTGGACTCAACTACCTGATAAGCCCACTGGATGTAGAAGCTACCCCTGCTGAGGCTCTGTATCTTAAATGTAGTAAGAGCCCGCCTGGCTCTTACTACATTTAAAATGCAGAGCCACAGTGAGGGTAGGTTCTGGACCCAGCGCAAGCCAGCACTGAGTCCGGGACTGCTGCAGCTGGCCTGGCTCTTGCTACATTTAAAATGAAGGTAAGTGCCGGACCCAGTTCAAGCCAGGACTGAGCTGGGCTTGCTCAGTCCTGGATCATGCCATGTCCAGCATCCCTGTCCATGGGGGTACTGGCAGGGAACTGGGACCCACAAAAACAGGGGCTGCCACCAGATAGAGGAAGAAGCATGGGAAGGGGGGCAGAGACGGTGCTGGGAGGATCCGGCTTTTAACTGGCCTGATACAGAGGCAGCAAGGCGAAGGGAAGGTGAATAGTTGAGTAGTTGACTACTCACTTACATTCCTAATGGGCATAAGGCAGTGGTAAAGGGGTCTGGTCCAGCCCTACTGTTTCACTCTGCTTTAGGGAGCAATAACTCTCCAGAGCTCCTCAGACTGCTGTGATATTTGAGGCAGTGGTGTGCTTCAGAGTGGAGCATACATACCTGTCTGCATTATTTCCTAGTAAAAGGCATGATAATAGTTTTAGTTGCCTGCTGTTGTCATTCTCCTGCATGGTTATCTCTGCCCACAACTGTCTTATCACTGGGCTACCTGTGAATCTGCAAAATCTAGGTTTCTGGGGAATTTCAGATTGAGTTCCATGGTTTATGCTGCTAACTGCAGCTCTTCAGAGACCTCACAGCAGCTCCAGTGCTGCCACTGTGTTTCATTTGCAAAGAGTGAAGCTGTATTCAGCGTAAGCTGAACACATGGAATTTTATTAAACCTTGTGTGCTGTTCTATTCCTGAATCTGAGTTGCTTCCAGCTCAACCCTATTGATTTACCATGTTCCCTGGTGTCCTATTATTAAGAGCCCCTCTAAGGAGCATGACCTGTATGACTTGGTTCCACTAATCATGATACATTTCCTCTATTTTATTTTATCCTTTAATACATACACTAAAACAAATCATTTATGCCCAAACCCACTCTCCACCCCCATGTCCCTTCAGCCAGAGCTTGCCAGCATGTGGATGAGTCAGAATCTCCACTTTACCACAGGTTCAGCTGGTTACATAATCTTTGAGACAGTGCTTCTGAAATGCTTTGCCTTGTCTCTCCCCCCTCAGAGGATTTCCTGCTTCTGCCACTGCACTTATTTAATAATTCTCAATGTCTCTCCCACCACTGCCTAAATCATCTTGCCAGTCCTACCAGCAATTGAATATACCAAGTCCAGCCCTTCTCCTGTCACCAACTGCCAAAACCAAATTTCATTGCCAGTATCAGCTCTCCCAAACCAACTATTAGTGTCAGCGAATATACCCTCTCTCAAATGCTATGGATCCTTGGGATTCCATCATACCATGCCTCATCTTAAAGTAAAACATTCAGTTCTCTATTTGAATAGTGGCCAACATCTGGAAAATAATATCTCTTTTGCAATTGTACAGTACATACTCTGCTAGCCTAGCAGCAATCTAGTGGATCACCTTCCATGCCAGAGCTCACAGCAGGTGTCCATGGTTTCAGATGCAATACAATCCTCCAGTCAGTTTAGTACAGTGAGAACTGTGCTGTGTGACTAGAATAATCTAATGATGAAAAGCCTGTTTTTAATACCTATTCAGCCATGTGGTTTATTGTACGTGTACTTAAATGGGCTATTTTTTCCCCTCGTATCTTGTTTTTCACACTCTTTTTTTCACTCCAGAAACCCAGCATTATTTTTCTCAGAAATGTTAGACAGCAGTAAATGTGAATAAATGTTTCGGTAAATAAAAAATATGATATAAAATGTTCCCTCAATGTCTTTAATAAAAATTATGCTTACAGTTCAGAATATATACATAAATAAACCTGTCATCAGCAATGTAAAACAAATGCTTATGGAAAAATCTAACTTAAACACAACCTGTCACTGCAGTCTTAATGCAAAATTTGATTTCTAATATATTTTCCCCTTCACTAGGCTATATCAGATCAAAAAAGATGGCAATAAAACAGACCAGTGAATTGTGGAAAGATATCCCCACTCTCTGATTGGGTGCAACTATGCTTAGTCTGGATATGTGTCCACATAAATGTCTAAGCCAATATATATAAATAG